ACTTTGATATAATCATACAAGCATGGACTATGTCTTCTTCTAATTAGGACTCCAGTCTTGTGGATGTAGGAACTGGTTAAATTTTTTTTTCCTATTGGTTCTTTTCAGTCATCCGTGACAATAGAATCCACTTTGATATAATCATACAAGCATGGACTATATATTCTTCTAATTAGGACTCCAGTCTTGTGGATGTAGGAACTGGTTAAATTTTACTCCATGGTTTGGAAAAATAAAAATCCACTTGTGGAAGCTGAGTTTCGAGGACCACACAGGTAGCCAGTCCTGACTGTACGCACCCCTCTGCTAGATATAGTAATACGGCAGGACCTAGCTTCCTGCAGCCTAGACCCTATCTCAATAGCAAGGACATTGGGGACACAACAGTCTCTTTTCTCTGGGGCCAATCAAAAATCAGCTTGAACACAGAAGTCCTAGCTGTCCTCAAAACAAGCCCAGTGGTCCTAATGGGAGACCAGAGCCTCCCAGGAGCCACTTGAAGCCCTGAGGGTTAGTACTCAACTGCCAGAAGGCTGTCCCCAAATAAAACTAAAACCACAGAGCCATGGCCCAGCTTCTCAGGAAACCTCAAACACCTGCATCTTGGGATTAGTCCAGATACCCCAGAATTAGAAAACAAAACGTTTAAAAGCAGTTCTAGAAACTCCACTAAGCTCTACAGATTACATTTTAACTGTTAAAGCTGTTGAGTTGGGGGAATACAAGCTGGAACTGTGGACAGACTGTGTCAGTTCAATTCACCTTGGGCAAACGACCAAACCTCCTTAAGTCTCAGTTTTTCCATTTAAAAACTGGGGCTGGTCACAGTACTGACTCGTAAGGAGAACCAAGTTAACCCATGTAGAGGCTGGTTGTAATGCCTGGCAGTGAGTAAAAGCTCAAAAACATTAGGTATTATTATTCCTCACTGGCTGCCTGCTTATCTTTTATGCTTACAAGAAAGGTTAATGGGCATGAATAAAGTTACAAATTTCCGATTTCATGCATATTCCCTTATTACTTATTTTACCACCTGGAAAAGCTCATTGTATTCCATTCTGCCCTTGAGATAAGGACAATACTCTCCATGCAACAGAATCATCCCAAAGGAATCCAAACCACACAACAGGCAGTGACCCCAACCTGGAGAAAGATAGCTATGTGTTTCTAGAATGAAGTATCCTGAATTCCCAAAGACTGTGTATTCCCAAAGGCTGAGTCCAGACTGGCCATACGTTTCAGCTGATTTCACCAGAGAAGCTGACAACTGAAAGAATGATTGCATGCAACCATCTTCAGACAGGAAGTAAAATGGGGAAGTGAGGAGGGAGCTGGTAGTGGGGGTAGCAATGGACTTCACTGGCCTGGTGACCCTGAGGTTCACCTGCTGATATAGGGGGCAGGGCCCTTAAGTTCTATATTCCTTCAATTTCTCTAAAACCTTATAAAGGGATTTAGGAAGCAAGGCAGGAGAGCAGTGAAGGCATTAGCATACCATGAAGTCTTTAGCTTTTCCATGGATCATCACTAACATCTTACCTTCGCAGGTGGTGCCATGTCCCTTGGAAAAAGCGCGTCTTTAAAGACACTTCAAAAGTGCTCCAGCATCCCAGCTGAAGTTCAAAATGATGTTTCCACATAATAGAACATGATACAGCTATTTAAAAATACTGTTTACAAAGGGTTTGCAGTAGCATTTTAATATAAGCTTCTTCCCTCATTAACTGAAGAAAAGAAGGATGCAAAATTGGATAGAGTCTGACCTCAACTATGTAAAAAAAGAATCCAAAATGCTGACAGCGGTTGCCTCTACATGACGCAATTAAGGATAATTTTTTCTTTGCCTTCCTCTCATCCCCTGCTACTCTGCAACTTTCTACGTGAGCATACAGTACTTTCGTAGGAGGAAAAATTATTTAAATAACGTGAGGTTTAAAATGGCACCGAATTTTTATATTAAAACTCCATGAGGTTTGCAGAGATTGAAGATTTGGGTTTTTATTGGTGGTGGATGGAGCTGCTGCTTCCTGCCTCTCCTCCAGCCAGGCATATACCACAGTGCCTGGCGTAAGTCAGACTGCCATTGACTCTTGATCACTCCGAAACTGATGAGTCAGGCTGTGGGTGATCCAAGCCCTCTTTCTTCTCCTCCTCCCACTGTCTGCGCTGGGCTGCGTTTTGTTTTCTACCGCTCATTAGTACCTCCACGCTCTGGCTTGGAAGCCAAGCTTGTGTCTATCAAGGCTCGTCTTTTCTAACAGTTCTGGTGACAAGTCTGGCAAGGGAGAAGCGCACAGCTTCTGAATGAAGGGATTGGGGGATTATCTGTGGCTTTCGAATCATCTGCACAATCCCAGGCCTTTGGGTCTCTGGGTAATTTCAGGGGTTGCATCCAAGAATCTGCACATAGGATACAGGAGGGAGTCTTGGGAATTGCCGGGCTGTCCTAGGCATCCTGAAGGGCCAAGCCAGCTCAAATCCATCACTGGCAACCTCCTCCTGAGGGGCAGAAGAGGAGGAATCCGTCCCGAGAGAAACTCTCTTGGGGAGATGTGTTCCCAAGAAGGAACCCCGCCAGTGAGGAGGTCCCTCCGTCACATGGTCTGCCTTCTAGTCTGGCTAGGATTCCTCCCTGTGCCTCTAGGAACCCTGACCCACCCCGGGAGCATCGGGACCCATGTCCACATGCTTCCTAATTGCCCCAGACCCTTCAGGGAGATATGGCCAAGGCTTTGGGCAGAGATTGCAAAGTCTGTGTAGCATGGGGGATATCAGTGCAGTCTCTGTAGTCCATACAGCTTCAAATCTCCACTCTGCCTCAAGTGACCTGGGCCGATCACCCAATGTCTCTGGGCCTTGATTCCTTCATGTGTAAAATGGGAATATCTGACCTACCCCCTAGGGTAGGTCTGGAGCAGACCGAATTGTCAGTAGATGTGGAGTGACCTGACCTATTGGAAGTGCTGTGTAAATGTCAGTCCCCAAAACAACCAAGAGCCAACCTGCCCTTGGTATTTGAACCCTTGAAACAAGGCTACAAATGTGGCCAGGCAGATCCCAAGGCCACTGAGACTTCCTTCGCCAGCTTAACGCTGCAGTTCAGTCCCACCCTCTGGTGGCACGACACCACTAAAGAGTGGCCAGCTGCACATGGCCAGAGGGGTGAACAGACAGGACAGGAGAAACCAGGCCGACCCACGGGGGAACTATTTATAGCCCCGTGTTCCTTCACCTCCACTTCACCATGTAACAGTTCGGCTGGCTCAGCTTGGGGGAAACTGTGTTCTTGTCAAAACACGCGTCAGAAATATCCCAAATCTGAAGACATAATTGGTGAGGAGGCCCAGGAAGGATGGATGGGAACTTCTTCTGCCAGTCTAATGGGCCTGATCTGCCTGACCAGGTGAGTGTGGCTCCAGACATCAGGGACAAGGGCAGGATGACTGATTGGTATTCACCTTTCCCCAGGAAACAAAGCCAACCCAACGGCAAAGATGATCAATGTATATTTTAAAAGAATGTGTATACAAACAAACTCCCTCCCATATGTTACTGGGTCTCCTCCAAAGGAAACAGATTAAATCAAATGCCTACCAGGCACTCGGCACTGTCTCGGGCTGTGGGAATCCATGGCCCTTTCTCAGGAAGCTTAAATGCAAGTTGGGAAGGCAAGATAAACATGAGAGGAAAGGTTGGGTATCAAAGCAAGACATACGTAATGAGCCAGAAGAAGAGTGGTACCTATCCTGGGTCTTTCAGGAGAGGAGAGAAAACTCACTCCAAGCTGAGACATCATCAGAGAGAAGGAGATGGGGTTTGAGCCCCACCAAAACAGAATTACAGAAATAGAGGAACAGAAAGAAAGCATTCCGGGCTGGGGGTAGTGTGATCAAAAGTGTGGCAACAGGACTACATGAATCACATTTGGAGAACAGCAAATAAACAAGTTTGGCTAGAGCAGGGGATACATGTGCAGAAGACAGAGTCGGAAACAGCCAAAAAAAAAAAAAATGGGTTTTTCTAGGTTGTCTAGTATAATCTTATTTTACAGATGAGGAAATGGAGGCCCAGCAGGGTTAAGTGATTCACATAAAGTCACACAGCTAGTTAACAGTGGGAGATGTGCTGGGAAAACAGATCTGCCAGTATTCAATTAAGAATCTGAGCTGAGAGTCAGCTGATTGACTGCAGAGAGGCCAAGGAAATATCATCCCTCTGGAGTGACCAAGACAGCACAGTTTCCAACCATGAATGCTGTTGGAGGCCGTGGGAGGTGCTCAGTAAGGGCTTGCTGATGACATTGATAAGTGATCACTGGATCATTTCAGAGAAGTCCTCCAGTATCTCTGATTTGATCCTCTCCTCAAAATCTCGACTTGACCAGGGTGCATCAGTGGGGAAAAAAAAAAAAAAATAGTCCTTCCACATGAAAGTCAAGAGGAGTCTCAAAGGATTTCAGCTCTCTAACCTCTCTGCAGAGCCTGGTACAAAGGGCAGAAAACAAACCCCCTCTGTGGGTGGCGAGTGGGCTGGAAGGAAGGAACACCTGTTTTTTCTTCTTTCAAGCCCTATAATCTCTCTTCTCTTTGAAGTTGTGAGAAATCAGGTGCTTTGTTCATTTCCAATGTAACAGAGACGGGACTGAAAGGTTAAATGTCTCAGGAAGGTGACTCAGGGATGGGGACCGGGCAGAACCCAGTCACCTCACCCAGCAGCACAGGAGTAAGGAAGAGAAACTGGCTGGTTCTTCCAGTTCAAGGTGGCTGGTGCTTCATTACATGCTGGGGGGCAGGAAGGAAGGGGTCACGACATGCACACTTCCAGAATTTCCCCCAAGCCATTTCTAGGGTTCTCCAGGGGTTGACCAAACAACCCGGTTGATATGGTCTCAGGTTCTAACTCAGGAGCATACATAAGAAATACAAAATGCAAACAACAACCACCCCGCAAAATGGATTGCTATTAAAATCAGACATTCCAAGGAGGCACAGAAAACCAACCTTCAGTAACTGGCCATCTCCAGTCCCCAAGAATAAAATAGTCCTGTTCATTACCACGGTGCCATAAACAGAGGTCAGGTCGGAATGGATCAAGGTGGATGATGCAATTGGCTGAACTCTTTCAGGTTTATCCCCTTCTTTCTGAACACATACACAAACGCACAAAGAGAGAGAGAGAAAAAAAATTTTTCTTTTAATAGTAATACTTCTCATTATACAAACAAAATGTCATGCATGACCTCTTAGGAAGGACCCCACTCTGGACTCCAAATACATTTCCCCCAACAAGATCCCCAAGAGCAGCTGTCATCCCCTTTACAGGTGAAATCACCATGCTTGCCCAACCCACAGACAGAGATTTGTTTACTATGTATTAACATGTATTGATCGCCAGCAGCGAGCTAGCCATCCATTTAACACTCGCCCAGCTGATGTATGAAGCCGAGTTCTACTTTATTGCCAAGAGAGCCCACTGCTGAATCAGGAGGGAGACCATCCTACACTTGGCTGTGTGCAGTAGCCTGCCGCAATTCATTTTAGCTAGGCATTGGCTTCCGTGACGTTAAACACAAACATTTCCCAAGATGCGACTCAGAGGATCCTATTGGGTGGGATGGCAGAGAGGAAGGATTTTGGATGGACAAGAAAAGTGCTCTGGGAAGCCCAAAGCCAAGGTAACCAATTCAGGGGGCAAAGAGGCCAAGATGCCACCGTGGACCATGGGCCAGACACAACCACAGGGCTTAAGAGGAACCCCAGTAATAGGGCTGGACCCGGAGCTGATGCTTTTAAAGAGGAAACGAAAAAGCCTAACTCCTAACCCGAAAGCATTTAAATTGTCTGAGACTTTGAGCGCATGTAATCACATGCTTGCTCCTGATCATTAAATAAAGCCCCTCTTTAAACCCAGAGCAGAGAGGGTGCCGACCAAAATGTCTTTTTCCTTTTTGTTTAAAAGGAATGAAGTGCCTCATGCTGCTTCCTGCCTTCAACGACAGGAAACTGAGTTTGTTACACAAATCTCTGGAAGACAGGGAGCTAGAAAGAGCCAGTGCCGTCTGTAGCTACTGAACACAGTGTGATAGCACACTTTATCTGCCAGAGCTGGGTTCCCAACTGCACGAAGGTTTTCAAAGGCACATTTCTGTTTCAGCCAATGAAGAGCCTGCAAACTTGAGCTCAGCAGACCAGCAACTCCTGAAATGGCCCTGTTTGGGGAGCAGGGAGGTAGGTGGGCAGGGGTAGACTAAGTCTTATTAACTTCATTATATTATTGCCGACAGTGTTTATGTCTTTCAATTTATGTCTTATTAAATATTCATTATTTTTAAACCCACCAAGTTTCATTACCATCTAAACTAAATGGATTCATGGACTAAATTGATTTCTGAAGCCTTTTAAGTGCTGTCGTTATTTCTTTGTTGAAGTTGCGCTGTGAGGAATAGATAAGCTGGCGGGGATCTCTCCAATGCCCTGATCACTTTTCAAGGAAAAGATGTCATAACCTTAGAGAAAGTGGCTTATTTGCATAAAATATTCTATAGCGGATTCAGTTTAAGGAGATTTTTGGAAAAGCCCATTAGAGATTTTTTTCTCCCCCTGTTAACAGATAGCACTTTTTCAAGCTGCAGGAAAGATGAGGAACTGTCCTGTTAAAATTGAAGTGAAGGGATAAAAAAAAAAAATCTCTGTGGGTCTAAGGATTGGAACAATAGGTCACTGTTTAGATAAGGAAGCCTCGTGACTATGAGCAGAAGAAGAAAAATCAGATGACCTTTACATTAAAAAAAAAATAAAACCACATCACACATCTTGCTTTAAAAGAAAACCAGAATTGTTCAAATGTAAGATCCGCTGACCACTGCTATTATTTTTATTAAATATTTGAGTATCGCACAGAGGCTAACTCAGTGAATTAGGCTTCTAGAATGTCTAGGTTTCCAGAATGTTCCACTATCTTTGACTGGGGCACTCCATTCCCTGTCATCTCATAACACAGAGAGTAGAGCCTGTGGCTTCTGGATTGCTCACAAGGACCAAATGGGACACTGTACTCAAGTGTTTGTACTCTGGTATACAGTAGATGCTTCATAACATACCTACTCTAGTTAGCAAGAATAATGATGCCATGGGTGGCCTTTGCTAAGGTGACATGGGCATCCTGTTTGTGAAAGGCTGGCTTCAAATGACAGAGGCATCTCAAAAAATGATGGGGGACAAAGAAAAAAATTGGCTCCAAATTGCTATCACCCCTGTTCTGTTGTCCTTCCCTGACTTCTGACTGGTTCTCAGCAATTGTATTTTTTCAAATTAAGTCCTAGATCAATAGCATAGGTATGGAGTACAACCATTAAATCCACGTTCCCAAACTTGAGAGGCTAATGATATAGAAAACCTCCTGGGGATCGTTTGCATTTGAGTGTGGTTCACACTTATAGGTGATGGGCAATGACCTAACCCTGTTGGGAGTTGTTTTTCTCAACTGTCTGATAGGGCTAATGGGCCTTATTGGTAGGATAGTTATGAAAAAAGAAGAAATAAATGATAGAAGTCATAATACTATCAATAAGACCAACTAACATGTATCAATACTTTCTTGGTGCCACTCCTTGTATTGTGTTTTATCATCTCACCCAGTAGGGGCAGTATGTGTAGTGTGCCAGATGGCCTGGGTTTGAATCCTGGCTCTGTTCCTTTCTAGATAAGTAATTCATGCTCATTAGTTAACCTCTCTGTCACTCAGTTTCCTCCTTTATACAATAGGAGTGATGATGATAGCATCCATTTGTTTTGCACACCAAAGGAGTAAAGTTCAGAAGGGTGTCTGGCACATGGCAACACACAATCCATGCTTGCTATCATTTCCTTATTTAAAAAACACAAACACCATGGCCGTTATTCCCACCTTCATTGCCGAAAGAACCCTGATTTTGTTCAGATAGTGATAACCCTAAGCATGTCAGAAATCAAGCCAAAAGGCAACTGAATTTTCTATTGTCAGATACTTGCTTTCCTACCCCACAGAGCTAAGTGTGGCCAGTTCTGGTGTCCTAGTTCTGGGCTGTGAGGTGTAAGATGTCCACAGGAGGGACTTTTGGGAATAAGTTACTTTCTCCATAGGAGAAGGCTCTTGAGGAGAGCCTAAGAGCTATCTTATCTCACTTCTTCCCCTGGAATACAGTAGCTCTAGGCAATCATGTGCAGATTGGTGGCAGCCATTTTGCTTCCATGAAATTCAAGATGGCAGATGAAATTAACAGGCTAAGCCTGGTGAAGGGGAAAGACAAGGGACCCTAGGTTCTTGAGGACACCACTGTGCCACAGACTTCCAACCTTTAAACTTCTTGTAAGTTAACAACAGGTACCATGGTTTAAACCACTGATGACTGCGTTTTCTGTTACCTGGAACCAAAAGCAAGTCACTATCTAAGAAATGAGAATCATGACTTGTTGGACCAGACACTAGGCCAGCCTGGAGGACCATCGCCACTGTCAAGATTTTGTAGCCAATTATAAGAGAGCCTGGGAGGAAATAGGAAAGAGGAGGCTTGGGCCTTATGAAAACCCAAGGGACTGCTCTGGCTGAATGGAAATGGATTCTTTTGTGCTGGAAACACACAGAAATGGACAGGTCCCCGTGAATGGAGAAAGGAGCCCTCTGAATGGCTTTCTTATGCTCATTTCAGCAAATGAAAACAAAAGAGAGACAGGCTCCAGAGAAGCCTTCTCACAAAAATGAAGTTAATACCTAGGGAGCCACACAGAAAAAGGGGGGGAATGGTGCAGCCGGCCCCCTGTGTCCAGAAATTATTCTTACTCTTTTTTTTTTTCCAGCCTATTTTCTATCTTGCCCTTCTCTCCCCTTAGGGCATAATGGCTAATGTTGCTCTCAGCCTATTCTGTCTAGTTTATTATGTGTAATTTATTTCTGAATCCCAGCCTCTGCTTGTTCGTCTGTGTGTAACAAGGTTAATGCCGTGTAATGATGCTTTTGCCAGTTCTGCCTTTCATGACAAAATCCAATCTTGATTTAGCTCTAAACCTTGTCTCCCCTTTGGGCTTTCTTGGTTCCCTCAGAGTTGTCATTCTGCCTTGCCTTCCTGCCATGTCTAACCACAAAGGCACGCCTACACTTAGCCCGCTCTGAGGGAAAACTTTTCTCAGCCAGAGGAAAAGAACTATCTTGTCTCTAGTGATGTTTGGGCTGAAGGAGTGGGAGCTCTGGGTCACCCAGACTATACACCAAGGAGTGTGCTGGTGCATGTGTGTGCACACACACCTGTGTGTACTCACATGTGTGCATGCATGTACCTGTGTTCACACATGTGTGTCTTGTGTGCATGCCCACATGTGTGTGCACACGCATCTGTGCATGTGTGCATGCATGTGTATATATTGTGTGTGCATATATGAAGGTATGCATACGTATGTACGTGCATATTTGTGTGCACACATGTGCATGCATGTAAGTGTGCATGTGTGTATGTATGCATACATATATACGTGTGTATTGTGTGCATGCGTGTTCATGTGTGTAAGTGTGCGTGCATGTGTGTGCATATGCTTGAGTGCCTGTGTTGTATGTGTGCACGTGTACATGTGTACGCATGTGCGTGTGCACATGTGTATATACACAGGGAGCAGTGATTGTGTCATGAGGACAGCTTGACCTTCCTGCAGCTCCTTTGCACTATTTTCCGTTGACAATAACACTCTCCTGTTGTGCACTGCACAACTCTAGAGGGCACCAGTTGCATACTCAATGTTTACTCAAACATTGAGCAATGCTGCGGCCCTGCTCCATCGTGTGACAGATGGACAGGCTCGGGAGGTGCAGGTCAGGTGTTCACAGCCACACTGCTGCTCTTGTGGCAACGCCCAGAGAAAATGTGCAAAACGCAGGGCCTCTGTGTCAGGAGCCCAGCGAGAGCCCGGCATTTTACCTCCCGAGGTGTTAAAAGGACTGGTGTATGTTGGTTTTTCCTTATAAGGACAAGGACAAATACCAACTGGGTTCTTATTAATTTCTACACATTGATAAAATGCTTCTCTTGGGCAGTTAATTCTGCTCTGTTCCCATGGGACGCACATGTTTTTTAAGCAGTTTCTCCACTGTTTGTTATTCCTGACTCACACAGGGG